AAACTTATAATACTTATGAATAAATGGGATTCCATGGGATTCATGTCGGGTGAACAGGCAGGCCAAGGGAGAACATCAACATTTTGGCGGTTGAGGAAGTCCTGTGTCAATCTTGCTGTGTGGGGTCTGGCATTGTCATGATGAAACACTATGGAAGCACAACTGGGCGCAGAACTTGATCTCTGTACTGAACAGCATTCAGGATCCCTTGCACAATGACCAGGTCAGTCTTCTGTTCCTCACAGAGGCCCCCCCAGACAATAACACCTCCCCCTCCGAACGGATCTACCTCTCGGATGCATGTTGGAGCTAAACGTTCACCTCTTCGGTGATAAACTCCTTCTCTGCCGTCGTTCTGGAACAACTGGAAACGACTCTCGTCAGAAAACAGTAAACGGCGCCATTCTCGCACTTGCCAGATTCGAACTTGCCTCGCCCATTGTACCCTTCGGCGTCGATGTTGTGCTGTCAGGAACATTCCTCGGAAGGGACGGTAGGCTCTGATTCCTGCAGCACGAAGTCGTCGGAGTACTGTGCGTTGGCTGATGCGATGTCCCAGCGCTGTCGTCGCCGTGACGAACCTGTTGGGTAAGTGAATTGTTCGAATTTGGCGATCTCCCTGGGGTGTTTTGACACGTGGTCTTCCCGTTGTGGGCTGTCTACAGTCCTTCCTGTCTGTCGGTAACTTTGCAGCAGCCTGGATACCATTAAAGGCGTGCACCCGCACCTTCTGGTGCATACCAATCGCCCTCTCGCGCTCCTCTCTTGTCAGTCTAGGCATATCGATTGTGTGCTTTTGTCAACTGTGTTGTCACCCCATGGTTTGACCTTACTTGTACGCCAATTCGGCACGTGCATATCCCTCTGCAGCCTTTGCACGTGTTTTACCATTTTCTGGTGCAGCATGGCACCACCAGTCATGTTGTGTTTGGGTGATGCGATTTTGCATCCTTGTGCTTGGGGACAACTGTCTGAATGCATACTTTCAACGAGCTATGAACACTTTCACAGTAAACTGACTTTTCCGGACCTATACTTTCTTTTGCAGCTTAGTATATATATATCCGTCTTTTTTAATGAAAATGTAGGTAAACATTTAACTGGTGTTCCTGTGGGTGATTTCGAGGAGGAGACAACTAGGTGGTTTTAACATATGTTATGTATGTTATTCATCAAAATAGGAGATGACGAGGTTGCCCGACTATTGCTCATATGTCGTCAGTCGTGTCAGACAATCATGGTTTCACTCATCTGAGAATTTTAGGAGCCCTACTCCTTACACAAACATAACATGGAGAAAAAAATTCAGTTACTGTGTTAGGCGTCAGCTGGTGTAAGCATAAAAAAAACATTACAATTGGGAAATTGTCAAAAAGCAATCTTTCCCAGGTGATATGAGGTCGCGTGTGTCACACACGTGTTTGCGAAGACATGAAACACATGTTGGGCATGGACGTCTTTTGAGTACAAATGTAAACACAGTTTGGTTCCAATAACATCCTGTGTTGAAATCATGACATGATGTAATGAAACCCGTGTTATTCGATCACAATGCATTGTTGAGTCAACGGTGTCTGATTCGCTGTCTGAGAAAAATTCTGCCGTTCTTGAGTGACCATCAACCTTTGGTAAGTCTCTCTTGTCAAAAGTATCATGGGTTTTGAAGTTAAGAAAAATGCATTCAAGTAGAGCACATTCTCGTAACGCAAAACGTACATGTCCTTGAGATCAAGTCCAGTGGATGTTCTCTGTTCTCAAGGATGGTAGCATGTGACACAGTCAACAATGCTTCATCAAAATACATACTGACACGTTCTTCACCGGTGAGCATGAGGCACTGATGATGACGTTGGGAGGGGTGATCTACTTCACACCCATAACAGTTATTACTACACAGTTTATGTACTTTCACTTGTAGTGCATCCAAGTAAAGACTTTCCAAAATAGATTCAAATCGCAATCTATTTTGCCGCAGTTCATGATTTCTGAAAACTCTTTGTTCAGGAACACTAACTTCCACTGACAGAAAAGGGACCCTGGTCTTCTGCAACTTCTTCTAATGACGACCTTAATCGATTTCTAAGAACTCTCTCAAGGCATCGAGCTCCAGCAAGATAGGCGCCAAGTTGACTTCTTCGGGATATTGTCCCTTATCTAACCAGTCCTTCACGCCTTCCATTCACCTTGTATCTGTACCGCCTTGTAAGGTTTCCACTCATCATGTTCTAGAAAAATTTTTTTAGCAAAACTGTATTAGTATGTATTTACTTACATGTGTTCTGTTCATGATAATAAAAAAATTGCATACAAGGTTTTGTTTCTATTATACAAGCTTATAACTAAACTAAACGGCAAAAGAAAGTATAGGTGGAGTTTGATGAGTGGTAAACAAAACACAACAAATCAAATTGGCGAAGCGAGTGTATATCGTGAAAGAAGGGTTAATGATCATTATTAGGCCACAAAATGATTGGAATACAGGCAACACATAACACGTGGGTGCTAGTTGAACAATGGTGGGGTCAAACAACTCATTTTTCAGTGATATCTTAAGAGCCACACATGATTGTCAATCATTGACCAAGTTTACACAACAAACAGAACATGTCTCAATACCGTGTATGACCCCCACGTGCATCAATGCATGCCATGATGCGTCGTCTCATTGATGACGTCAGGCGTCTGATAACGAGTGCTGGGATTCTATGCTACTCTTCTCTCAGGGCACGTTCCATCTCATCTCTCGTCACTGGGGGTTGTTGACGATTCCTTAACCGTCTGCCCAGATGGTCCCACAGATGCTCTATTGGGTTCATGTCGGGTGAACAGGCAGGGAGAACATCAACATTGTGGCGGTTGAGGAAGTCCTATGTCAATCTAGCTGTGTGGGGTCTGGCATTGTCATGGTGAAACACTATCCCCTGTGGCTGGTTCCGGAAGAATGGAAGCACAACTGGGCGCAGAATTTGCTCTCTGTACTGAACAGCATTCAGGTTCCTTTGCACAATGACCAGGTCAGTCTTCTACTCCCCACAGATGCCTCCCCAGACCATAACACCTCCCCCTCCGAACGGATGGGCCTCTCGGATGCATGGTGGAGAGTAGGGAATAAATGATGAATAAAACACCTCAAACCACAAATGTACCTAATAACCTCGTTTGAACAATGGAATGAGGTCATTGATGACGTCATCAGTGTACTTGGTGAGTTGTGTCAACAGTGTATTGTATGGGTATTGTTCTAAAGTCAACAGAGAGCTGAACAGCTGTTGATTCTATTTAATAAAAAAAAAAAGGACAGGAGTTGAATGGGTATTGTTTTCAGGGCACCTGTGTCAATATGGGTGTGGGTTATGGAGTGAATGAGTATTGTTCTCAGGACACCTGTGTCAATATGGGTTTGGCTTATTGTACAACCCATGCACCTGTGTCAATCTAACACAGCTGTGTCCATAGGGTGTGAGATATGAAACTGTATGGTCTTCATTCCACAGACTGTATCTATTTCAATAAAGGGCGGGTCTTCCCGGTTTGAATGGGTATTATATTAGAAGCACCTGTGTCAATAAAACGGCAGAGTTGTGAATTTGAATGGGTAAATAAATAGAAAAAAGGGCAGGAGTTGAATGGGTATTGTTCTCAGGACACCTGTGTCAATATGGGTGTGGGGTTATGAAGTGAATGAGTATTGTTCTCAAGGCACGTGTGTCAATATGGGTGGGGTATGAAACTGAATGGGTATTGTATTCAGCGCACCTGTGTCAATATGGGCGTGGGTTTATGAAATGAAATCTTATTGTAATCAAGATACCTTTGCCCACAAGCTGTTGGATACTCACAATATAAATAGATAAAAAAACTGATGCTCTCTGTCAATCTTTCACCACATTCATCTCCAGTCAACAACGTCATACCGTGTATCTACATCACTACACAATGTCAACTCCAGTCAAACGCACAATGTCTGAAGCCATGGGTGAGAGCAAAGAGAAGACTTTTACGCCAAAGGTTGTCAAGATATCCAAAGAAAACCTTATGAGCAAAGTGGATGATAATGGTATTTACAAGGAAACGACTGAGAGGTGTAAAGTGAGCGATCTCCCCAAGAATTTATTGCTCCTAATTCTAAGCAATGAGGAGGTCGATGTTCGTGACAAGTCTCTGTGGAAGGTTGTCTTAACACCTGCGTTGAAGAAAGACGCTAAATATGATATACTTCTCAACGATAATTATACTGAAGCGCTGAAGTCTTCCACACATCTCCTCTTTGGAGGCCAGGATCGGTCCAAAAACAACAGGCTCTTCAACAAGCTTCAGTTCTTCAACTGCTGTGAGGACAGTATGAATGAAGAAGCATCTGAAGAGTACAGTGCTGATGGGGAAACACAAATTCTGTTTTAGGTAAGCAAACTTTTATTTTAACATGATAACCTTTAGCAGAGATGAAGTAAAACCATACCATGTTTCTGTTAAAACTAATTCAACCTCATCTGTAGTGGAGAACCGTTTCTCATGCAGTAAGGTTTGGGTATAATGCTACACTTGGTAAAAGTGTAGTTTCACCCATGGTTTGCTAGTTCCACCGTGTATTTCTGTACTCAATATGCCGTGGTGTAGGTGTAGAGTGTCCGCGTTGATTCCGGGAGGTCATGGGTTCGAATCCCGGTCACATCATATCAAAAGACGTAAAAAGGTGGGAGTTGTTGCTACCTCGCTTGGCACTCAGTATTATGAGGTTAGAAGAACACAGTAATTGACTCTGCACTACGGCGACGGGTACCACTGTTAGGCACAAAACGAATTATCAAAATGTAGTTGTTTTGAGGATAATAAAGAGATTATTATTATTATTATTATTATTATTATTATTATTATTATTTTGAGTCTAAGATTGTACCTTTTAATTAATGATGTTTTAACTGAGTGTAGTGTTTTTCTATGCCGTTCAAATATTTTTATTATCGTCTTCGGATTATGTATTTTACCATTTGTCATTTCAGGATTCGGAAACCAACAGAGCCGCGAGTGAACTGAGAAAGTAGACTTGAGTAACTCAACTAAACTCAAACAAGGTCTTAATAAAAAAAATGAATTTGAATTTAAAAAGAGTTGTATCTTTCTTTCATGGTTATGTACTTGAAGAGCTATCTCTATCTTTGCGCGGGGGAGAGCATTATCCATTGAAGTTCCCCTGTACTCTGTATAACGGTAACATTTTGATATCAGCTTAAAATAGCTTGGCTTTTTTGTGAAAAGTGGGTCATGTTTGGACAATGCTCTCACTCCCCGTGGTGTTGACACGCTTGTAAGAGTTCACAGCATGCAGTGCACCGAGTCTGGGATAACATGCAGAGACGAGAAGAGAGCTTAGTCATGGTGTCTCTGTACTAAAGTTTAGCTGATGATGACAGCTTGTTTATTATTTTTTAAACTTGTTAAGTAACTTAAGATTGCAATAGCCATACTTATTATTTTATACAGCGACACCATGACTAAACTCTTACTTCTACGCTCTATCATATAAGGAGATGTTACTATTGGCCTATGATGACAGCATGGCTTACAACAAACATAGGCATAAATGTAATAGCATTTTATTCAAATTTATTGATGCATAGGTTTTTTCATGAATTGATTCAAACAAACATTACACAAGCTTGATACACAAGTGAATAATTTGGGGAAACAGTATTTGTAATCACACATTACAGTTTACACAACAATCAACTGACACCTGAACAAAGAAGTCAACATTAACAACTAACACTTAATCTTCTCCAGAACATATTCTCATAACAAAACTAAAAACTAAAACGTCTATCTGCTAACATAGATCATAAGATCATAAATTTACTAACTAATTTCTAGAACATGATCTCATTACAACCTAAAACTAAAATTGTCTACTAACTAAAAACTAAAACGTCTATCTGCTAACATAGATCATAAGATCATAAATTTACTAACTAATTTCTAGAACATGATCTCATTACAACCTAAAACTAAAATTGTCTACTAAAACTAAAACTAAAAATTGTCTATCTCCTAACATGTCAATACGGAGAAAAACTGAATCGTTTCGGAGCCTGCCTAGTTCGTGTGGTGCTTTCATCGTCGTCGCCGTCTGTGTCTGAGTCTGTGTCCTCTCTGTCGTCGAGGGCGACTCTTGATCTGACATCAGTCTCTGATAGGTCTCTCTGGACAGCAGAACCATAGGCTTGCTCATGATTGCGTCTGTCTTGCTCGAGCAATGCTCTAATGCACGTACGTAGGACGTTGTGGTGTGTGACTAACAGCCTCCGTTTTTCACGAGCCCCTACCTTCTTGCTTCCCAATGTCCGAATGAGATTCTTGTGTCTTTGCAATCGTATTTTGTCAGAGTCAGAGAGGGGAATGTTTCCCCTCAATATGTTGTAGATCAAGGTGATAATCGCCTTGAATTGTTCACCCGAGAGATGAGCCAGCAAGGCCTTTCTTTGTTTGGTGTTCACGTCCTCCAGTGAATAGAGAAATGTCCTCTGCTTCCTCAGGAGGTCTGCTGTCATAATGTCTTTTTACTAGTCAGATGCAATGAAGAGATCCAGGGACAGATTGTCACAGATGAATTTCTTTACGAACAACAACAAAGTGCTTGGGGCTTCCCCAGCGGTCTGGAATGTCGATTCCCCTGCTTTCTATGTGATGTTTGAGATTGTCAAATGCCTGCGATTCGCTGGCAAACCAGGTCTCACACTGAAGCAATGTCACCTCTGCTTCTCCTCCAGGTGGGTTAGCTACTACGAGCCAGGAGTATTGCTTCTTATCCATTGCACGGTCAGCGCACAACTGATTGGTGTCAACGTCTATCGACTGTTTAGAACTATTTAGGCAAGTACACAGTGCATGCCTTGTTGTCCCCTGGAAATATATTAGTGCGTAGTCGTCCGTAATGTTCGTCGGCATGTGGAGATGCATCCACGACGAGGTAACCATATTTTCGCTCGGCTACTGCATCTCGAAATGCCTCTGCAAAATATTTTGCCTGTCCCGGAAATATCTGCGATGCCAAAATTTTATATTCGTGAGCGGACCTTGGGTTGGACATCAAAACGAAATGATGCGTATTCAGGGAAATTGTTCTGTTGCATTCGCCCTTTGGGTAGGCCGACTGCTGGATGTTGATGACTGAAATACCGAGATGGTGCGACAGTGTAGTGTAAAGATTTAAATACACCTGATTCTTGCACACTTCTTGCATGTAATCGTCGAGCACCAGTAAGCACCTGTTGTCAGATTCCAAAGCATACGACCTCAGTTCCTCCTCCGTGGGAAGCGTATCTTGAAAGCGAATGTTGGGGACAGTTTTTTCTAAATCTCCGTACACTTCCGGTTGGTACACTACAAAGCAGAAGATTATGAGTTGGGGTGGTGGTTCAAACATGAATTTCGCCTCTTTCAGCAATGTGGCTGACCATCTCGTCTTACCACTGGAGGACCCGCCCACAATCGAAATCGTAGTTGGTGTTTTAAAAGGCAAAAGACACTTGGTATCCCCCATCGTAGCCTGCCTACACTCTCGGCTTTGTCTCAAAGAATGAATCTGACTTCCTTCAAGGGAGTGAATTTATACAGTGAGAAGATCAATGATTAAGCTTGACGTCACTAGCGGTCTTGTCTCCTCACCCTTTTTTTTTTAAAAAATCTGTCTTGAATTAATCATTAACCATTTAAAAATAACTGTGGACAGAGATAAAAACTTGTTGTCAAAGAGTAAAATTTGTTTTAAAAATTCACAAATATGTTTTCTTTGTACAAAATTTGTATAAACAGAAACAAACAAACAAAACAAAGGAGTTTTCTACATTTTCTAAAATTATTTCATGTTTCCTTTTTTTTTTTTTTCTAGTACATGGTATTCAAATCAAAGCTTTAAAAATTACGAAGAACAATACAACAGCAAAAGTAGGCTAAAGAATATAAAAATAAATAGGTTATGAGTAAATACAGTTAATATGTGTATGTCAACTAACATTGAAGATAAGAGCAGATGCTGAGTAGCGTTGTACTGTTAGTGCAATATTTAAAATAGTGGTACATGCTTTTCGAAACGCCTCTAGCGGTCTCTCACTTGCTCGCTTTCATCTTCTCTTCAAAGTTATCTCCCTTTGACCACAACACATTTTGACGAAAGCGGAATCGAAGATAAGAAGAGAATGGGTCAATGCTGGGGGAGAAGTAAGGAAGACAGGGATGAAATAAATGAAAGGTTGCAAAGATGCGAGGACAGACTTGATGGTGTTTCGCGAGATCTGCGAAGCATTTTCAGTCAAATCGAATGCCCGCGGCACTGCTCATATGAAGTTCGTATGGACCGGGTGGAGAGCGACGTGCGAAGGCTCAAGGCGCGCCCTCCTCCCCTGCCGCCGAGGAGAAGAGTCTTCACCGATGCTAGCAGCGATGATGTGATGTGGTATCCTACCACCCCCGCCAACACCACCACCACCACAACATTGTTGGCCCCTCACCCCTCGCCAATTCCATTGTCAGATCTTGTCAAAGAAGCCATGTCAGACATGGGGACCTGAATAGTCGCTAACCTATATAGCTTTAAATACAAATAGTAAAGGAAGCATAATTTGAGGAATCTATTAACGACAATAATTTATGCATACATAACGATGCAACACTTCTATTTTACATCCTGCTACTGGAATGTATTCAGCCCTTGACCTTCTCTTACCCAACATATTAAATGAATTGAATGGTCCCATGATGACCTCTTGCAGCTTATCACTTTCCCACCATTCTCCTGAAAACCAGCAACCCAATCTTCATCATCTAGTGGAATTTTAAAAGCAAATTGGCAACTTTTGAGATATTGTGTACTTCAAACCTAACACCTGGAACGTTTTCAAAATACCGATGATCAAATTGTTATTTACAGATCAGCCTACTGCCAGCTTTTACCTAAGTCCCTCTGCAAATCCTCACATCTTCGCAAGCCATGGTTCAATAATGATTGTAAACAGGCCAGAAAGAGTAGAACGAGGACTACGTCCCCATGAATTAAAAAATGTGAAATAAAATTTCATTTTCACTGAATTATCCAGAAAGTTTGTTCTTTTTAAGTTTATTTAGACTAGAAATTGTTCAATTGTTGAATCGTTGAACGTTTAAAAGTGAATAAAATATACACACTCTCCTCTTTTTTTTTTTTTTTTTTTTTTTTTTTTTTTTTTAAGTATTAATTTCATTTTGGGGAGAGAAAAAAAATTGTTATCAAAAATAAAAATCTGATACCAAAATTTTCAAATTGCACGTCAATAGAAAATGTTCACCAAAGTTCAACGGATCATTATTCCAGTTTTTAAAAAACAGTAGACAGAAAAAAAAATTGCTGTCAAGAAATAAAACTTGTTTTCCAAATTCACAATTTTGTTTTCATTTTTTCAAAATTTGTTTTCATTCTTCAAAAATGTGTTTCACTCATTTGAATTGATCATAATCCATTTTTAAAAAAACTGTAAGCAGAAAAAAAATTGTTGTCAAGAAATAAAACTTGTTTTCCAAATTCACAAATTTGTTTTCATTTTTCAAAATTTGTTTTCATTCTTCAAAATTTGTAAACCAAAAACAAACAAAAAGGAGTTGTCTTAATTAGTTTTAATTGTTGTGTGTGTGTGTGTGTGTGTGTGTGTGTTTGGTTTTTATCTTGAACATTGTGTTCTATTCAAAGCTTAAAAAAATTACAAAGAACAACCATCACTATCTATAAAGTTGTGAAACAAAAAACACACAAAAGATTTTTCTACATTTTCTTTTTATTTATCACTTTTCTTCTGCATAAAGTTCATAACCAGAAGGGTATACATCTAAATGGTATGTCAGAGAATAGTGCATGGATATTTATAATATTAATATAACTACATGAATAAAACATATTTTCTTTACATTGAAGCTAAGAAGAGCAGGCATTAGTAGATAGGGATCTACAATGAGTACAATATTTGAAATAGCGACACATTTTTTTCGATATAAAATCATCGTTCCACAGCAAGTCATGAGGATTAAAATGATGGACAATCTCGTTCAAACTTAAGTTGTCTTTGAACTTGTGCAATAAATAATACAAGCAATACAAGCCACAAATGTCCGAATCAATGGATTGCAATCGTTGACCGTTGTGTGTGTAAGAAGCCACGTGTGATTTTAGATATTGATGAAAGTGAGTAATCACTGGTTCCGCGAGACTGTCAATAAGTTCTGCATTATTCCCTTTAATGACCATGGCAACCCAGTGACGACCTTCGTGTTGACTCAACTGTGTGTTGACGATGAGACCTATGCCTTGGGCGCGCAGGCTGACAGGGATAGTGGGAGGTAGGGTATCTTTGGCATACACCCCCAGCACGTGTCTTCGTAAAGCAGGATCGCACTGCACAGCGCACCAGAGTTCTGAAGCCTTCATCTTAAGTTATTGTTCTACTTGACAAAGACGTTGCGAGCCTGATCAATCTCGATGAGGGAATTTCGCTGAGACAGGACGATGCAACTCAGAGTGGAGGTGAGAGCAGCTTTAAACTCCAGATGTAGTTTCACATCTCCAGATTTCACCAAGTTGAGGTACTCCGAATCACTGCAAATCTTGTCCAGGTCAAAGACAAAGAGGGCGTTTCCCAACAGAAACTCGCTTCTGGTGATATGGTTTCCTTTGTCTTCGTTCCACAGTCCCATTCCATCTAGCATGCTGACGTAAGTGGCGATATCGTCTGCCTCTGTCGGCTGACCGGGCACACTGTTCCCATCGATGGACAGCGTGATCTTTTTCACCATGGACGACTTGAAGTTGAATGGGTTCCCAGTAAGGCTAGAATTCAGGCTGGCACTTTCCACCAGTCCGACGATGTACCTGCTGGCCACAGGACTCGAGAGGTTGTCGATGGTGTGACTTTGCTCCGTGCTCGGAATGCTGGTGACCTTGACCTCGCTTTTGACATAGGGATACGCGTTGGAAGTCTTAAACAGAGAATCATGAGCCATGAGGAGGGCCGGGTTGACCTTGACTTTGCACACTTGAAGGTAGGCGTCCAAAAGCTGCACTTTGAACTGGTGGGTGGTCACGTCGCTCATCAGACAAAATTTGGGGTCCGATCTGTACATTTTCACGGTCATGTCCACCCCGTTGACCAGGTGACGATTCATTTTGAAGACGTCTTCGAAGAGGGGGACCGCACAGGGTCAGTTCTTTGCTTTGCTCTATGAAACCAGCGCGTGTCATCATTCCACTGTTGAGGGATCCCGTGACATCGCTGCTTTCCAGGTCGCGGTCGCTCTCAGCATAGTCCTTGTAGAACAGTTGCGTGGTCAGCTGGGTTTGTTTGGCTTCTGCACCGTAGCCGAGCAGCGCTTTCATCATACTCTTATAGGGATAATAGTTGTTGGTCGACGACACCAACTCGTTCTGCAAGTAGACCGACACCTGGGAAAACAACGTCTGCATAAACAAGTTCACCGGAGCCACGTTTTCCTCCGCAGCCAAGTCCGTATTCCCGTCGGCTTGAGTGACTTTGACCTTGAGGTGAAGACGGGTGCGTTTCAGGTCGATGTAGTCGGCTCCGGAATTGGACACTTTAAACTCCAGCGGGGTCGTGTCGTTGATTTGGCTTATCGGTCTATTTTGAATAAAGTAATGGCTCTGGACTGACGACTGATAGGGCGGTAGAGTAAATACGTTGAGAGCCTCGGGAACCAGTTCCTCGAAGTCACCTTCCTTTATCAGAGACATGACGATGGGGAAACTGTTCGTTAGCTGAAGATATCGTCTTCTCGCACGGGAGTGCACTTGAGCGCTTTGGTAGTCTTGGTGGGAACAATGGAGGAAGTGTTCTCGGTTCGACGAATCTTCTTCGTTGTGACGCACCTTCCTCCGGCCTTGCGTTTTATAGCTTTGGTTCTCTTGTCTTTGGCTTCGGCTCTGTCGACCTCGCTTTGTGATTCCGACGTCATGCGCAAGGTGACCTCTGTGGTGGGCTGCTTAGGTTGTTGCCCTGCTTGATGTCTCACCGGAATCACCATCCTTTTGGCTTTCCCGTAAAGCAGGTTGGACGTTTTCTTCACGTGTTTGTTGTCAAAGTAATGTTTGAACTTGCTATAGTCGGGTACGTACAGCGGACGGGTTTCCATGACGATGCTAAAAATCACTCGGCGAAAGGATATCGTCTCAAGTGAAGTGTGGCATAGGTCTCCTCAGACAAGAATGAAGCGGTGTCAGGATTGTCACTTCTTAAATACAGTTCGATGTTGTCCGTCTCCTTCAGTTTTACGCGCATGCACATTTCGGTACCAAAGCTGTAGGCAGGACCCTGTCTCAGATCGATGCGTCTCAGCAAGCTCAGCTGCGTTTCGCCCGCCAGGGAACTGTCGCAAAGATTACACAAAACGTCCACATGGGGGTCTCTGACCTTACTCATATCCAAATTTCCAAAATTCAACTCGGTCAAAGACACTACCCAGAATCCGTCGAAGGTCAACCTTTGGTTGAGTTTAACACGAAAATGATAGCGCGTGTTCCCAGGAAAGGATATCTTTTTGGAGTCTGAGCTTTTGAGAAAAACATACTTCTCCATCGCTGATGTTATTTTTTAATTTTTTTTTTAAATTACTTCTCGTTGTTCTATCACACTTCTTTCAATTCACTTTCTTCCACATACGAGTCGAATGACTTTGGCCAGCCGAGCCAGCGTACCAGGGCGTAGGTCTTCCCCTTCACTTTTTTCCTTTTCAGGACTTTCTCGACTTGCCACAGGGAGTCCTCTCCTTTGTTCACCTTCTTGAGCTCGTTACCGTAAAAGGACCCGGTCAGAGGTTCGTCGTGAAAATCTTTCAGTTTGTACTGAGGAAAACCTTGTTTCCTATAACGTCTAGCCACTTTAAAAAGCTCTTCCATCCACTTGAGGTCGAGCACCGTGCTGAAAGGCCTTCTGAGATATGAGATGCGAACCAGATTGCCTGCTTTAAATAGATATCTCTTCGCTCTCATGGGTTTACGGCTGCTACCGATCTTCTTTCTCAGGGGCTTCAGGTAGACATGGTCCCACACTTTCACCTGGTTCCCTCTGGTCACTTGTGACGGGGACATATGTGGTAAAGAAGAATGCAGTGTGTGATTGTAGTTGTAAACCAGATCGGGGAGAATGTCCACATAGCGTTTGGTGTTGTTGCGTGTCATGTATCGTGTGATCAAGGACTTCAACGTCCTGTTGAAACGTTCCACGTAGTTACTTTTTATGTTTTCGTTGCGTGCAATGGTGTGGGTGATATTTTCCTTGTCCAGAAATGTCTTAAAGTTAGCTTTGAACTCGCTTCCGGCATCCGTCCTCACCTTTTTAGGCTTTCTGTCCTTCAGTATTACTTTGAACGCCTTCAGGACGGTCTCTGGTCTCTTATTATCTAGAGGCAGTGCGAAAGCATAGCGTGAAAGAATATCCACGCTCACCAGCAGGTATCTGACACCGTCGTTCCATTTTGTGTACCTAGACAAATCCGCTAGATCCACGTCAAACATTTCGCTCAGAGAATTCACTCTGACTCTCATTCTTTTAAAGCGGTATCTGGGAGGTCTGTTCAAGCTGTAAGCGTCTTGATTATTGACAAACTTTTTCACGCTGCGTTAGGACGCCTTGGATTCACCCTTTTTCCGTAACTCATCACGGAGCTTGGCTGGGCCGTAATAAGCTCCGGGTTGTTTAGGATCAAAATAATACTCCTCGAGGGCTTTGTCGGAGGGACCACCGCTCTTATTACCCTTTGGAGAACTCATAATGTACTAAACGATAGCATCTTGAGTTGATACATTTATATCTAAATCAATTAGAAATAACCACTAAAAACATTTTCATGATGAATCTATCATTTTATTTATTTTTTATATTTTATTCACAAATCATTCTTGGATGATACACATTTACATTATCAAATAAAAGTAACAACAAACATAAAGCTGAAATGGGTTTATATTTAAGGTATGAGTCCAAACATTCTTAATTTAGTGTCCAACACTCGATAGTCAGTTCCTGGTATTATTGGCTTAAAATAATAATAATAATAATCTTCCAATGTCTTGTAGACAGCTTTGACATTCCTCTTGTTCTTACCCTTTCGAGAACTCATTGATGAAATGATAAAAGTTCATCATGGAAAATGCTAATATAATGACTGACGAGCTTCGTCTTTGAAGGATATACATACTTGTATATGCAAAAAATGATCAACAAACAAATATGTGAAATTCAAGAGCAATTTTATTCGTTACAAGATGATGATGATGATGATAAAAACAATTATGGGATATATTCTTCAAAAGAACCTTTCATTACATTGTGTCATTCTTGGTTACACTCTCAGTAACACTGGTCCAACTTCTCAGTTACAACTGGTCAGACTTATAAGTCTTTTTTCCAAAAACAACATCTTAACAACTCGCTGTTTAAGATCACTTCTCCATTCAATCGTTTTGAACTGAGAGTCACGATAGTCCTTGCACTGATAGGGAACTAAGCTAAAAGCGGTTATGTCAACCAGGGATGAGTCATCACTCAAGAGTTTCATCCATTGTTCTATCACGTGATCGTCATTGATCTCGTTCATGGCAGTATCAAAGTATTTGTCCACTTGAACCTGTTCAGACAAGTCACAACATGAGTGTTCTTGTTCAGCCTCGAACATGCAACCAAAACAAAATTCCCAGGAGAGTCGCTGGATGATTTTGGTAACTTCTAATGAGTAGCACAAGCTGAGAAGTCCTTCTGCATGTTTTAGTTTGTTTGTCATGTCCACCTCATCAACGCACAGGGGTAACTTTCGAGACTTCTTGATAACAACTCTTTTGGTTCTGTTTGAATCGTCATGAAATTTTCTCTTCGCGTCCTTGATGCATTCACTGCGATCTTTGAACCATTCCCCCGACTGCATGACAATGGACTCTTGAAGTGTCACTGGTTCTGTTCTCATCACCTGCTTCCACGAGTAGAAAGACACTTTGCTGTCAACTGCACTTTTCCTGTCCATGATAAGAACTGTTCAGAAAGCTAGAGAGAGAGAGAGAGCACTATGTGTCCGCCTCACACAACTCCTGGCTATGACGAACTGGCATGGTACATTTTCTTTTACTTTAACAAGACTAGGGTGGGAACGTAGAGGAAACAAGAAGCATTCCCATTGGATGAAATCAAATATGAGTCACGTGTTTGTCAGCAGACAAACTCATTGGTGGATAAAATGTCATTGAGTGTTCTTGATTTTAGGATTAGGTAACAAGTACCCAAGACAGCTACTCAACAAAGCAGTCCATAGATTTGAATTACCCTGGTCAATGGAAAGATTCAAGAGGAGCACCACAACTGTTGTCAACGAGGGTGGAGAGTAACTACTGATGCACGAACACATGTTTTATATCCATAACTGTTGAATCATATTAAACTGATTGGACAAAAAGGTTTAAATGTTTGTCACCTGTCTTTCATGTGATTGGATACATGCATCAGAATTATTTTAAATTGAGTGGATGAAAGGTTTAAATGTTTATCACGCATGTTTCACGTGACTGAATGCACACATCAAAATTGGTATTGAAAATGACACTTGTTATATGATATAATAGGATCAACTATAAACAGATGTAATACAAACATGTGTCAAATTGTATTATCATTAGAGATTTCTTGCCACTCTGCTCTCCATTCGTTCTATTCTACTCAGTGTTAAAAAACATCTATTTCTATATTCAACGTTCTCATAAATGAGCGTGTAAATGTCGTCAAAGTCTAGATTTGTGGCAGTTCTTTGTGCTCTCGCCTCCTGAAGTATACTGTCATGGGAGATTTCTGCCAAGGCTTCGTCGAAATAGGTGTCCACACATTCTTCCGGATCCATCATGAGACAGTGGTGTTGACGCTGGGACGGATGATTGATCTCACACCCATAACATCTGTAGATGCGCATCTCATTTACTCTCATGATCAAACGATCCACATACATTCCCTCGAGAATAGCTTCAAATTGTTCTCTTCCAGGGTGAGGTTCTGCTTGCTTGCTTCCACTCATTCTGTGAATAAAACAAAATAACATTATAAGATATTTCCTGTGTTGAATTCCACTTGTTATTGAGAACACACATTTTGTTTTGTTTCTTTGTTTTGATTCTAACATATGTATTTTTTCTACAATTTTTGTCATGCACGTTTTGTTTCTGTTTTACACGTTTTTAATTTCTGACATACAATTTTTAATTTCTAACATGCAAGTTTTTGTTTCTGTTTAACACATTTTAATTTCTGACATACAAGTTTTGGTTTTCCGACATATACATTTTTAATTTCTGTCATGCAAGTTTTGTTTCTGTTTTACACATTTTGATTTCTAACATACAATTTTTAACTTTCAACGACAAGTTTTGTTTTTTGTTTTACACATTTTTTAATTTCTGACATAAAATTTTTGGTTTCCGACTTAAATGATTTAATTTCTATCATACAAGCTTTGCTTTCGTTTTAGACATTTTCATTTCTTATATGTATGATTTAATTTTCCATCATGATATTTTTCTATCTAACATCAGTTTTTATTGTCCGTACCTTTTTTTCTTTTATTCCCAATGTCAAAGACACAGGAACACAGTCACATGCTCATGGAGAGGTGGAGAGCTTCGTGTCATGATGTTCTTCCATTTCTTTCCAGTTTTTGTTTGTTTTTGTTTGCTAGACACATATTATAACTTTAATTTTGTTTTGCTTAAATGGGATTATAGCCGTAAGGACGGGATTCAATGCCATCTGCCAAAAGATAACGTTTGTCATCTTGTGGTGTCAGAGCTAATTTTGTCACTCTGTCTGTATAGAGTGTGTTCTGAATAGAGCGAATCTGATGATAAGAAGCTGTGCTTTGTTTGTGTTTGAGAAGGCAATCTTTAAACATCTGGTGACGAAGATGTTTTTTGACGAATGCTTTTTGCACTCCTTTGGCAGTGCGTTTCTCGACCCGTTCACGTGGAGTTTTGTCAAAAACAAAACTATAGTTTTTGGGACGAAGCCCGACAAACTCTCTGATAGTCTGACCACCCACTTCGTCTTTCATCAAACCAATGGCTTTGTGTCTTTCCATGGAATGAAGTGGGTGGTCCTTAGGGTAGTTTGAGGTGTCAAAGAGATGAGGGTTAGCTAACATAAAGTCTTGAGGGTCGCGAAGGGGGGTACCCACTGGGGACCAGATTTGATAAAATAAACTATCCGTGTCCGTCATGCAAACCCGAACATGGTTGCTGGTGTATTCCTTCAACATCACATTATAGTGAAAATCGTAAAGGAGTCTCTTAGCATGTTCCAAAATGGTGAAGCCCACAGACACGGGTTGGTTCAAAGTCACGGACACTCTTTCCATGCACACCACAACCAAGTTTTCCGAAAAGATACTGGCGCTTTTGAAATTGGGCTTTGCTGTAAACCTCCTCAGCCTTTCCTCAGTGGTGATTAATTCAATTTGCTTGTAATTTCTTACATTTTGCAATTGTTTTCCGTACACAGCATTCGAAAGCAATTTAAACAAATCTTTCGAAAAGTCATCGGTGGCCTCTCTTCTTTTTTGTGTGTTAAAGTCGATGTAAGGCTTCAACCATTTGCACTGAGTAAATTTCAAAATTTTGTGTACCTTTTTCAGTTTCAAACCCAACTGTAAATACTGCTGCAAAGTTCCGAAGTAAAGAACATAATTTCGTTTGTCTTTTAGGGTGGAGAAGAGTTTGGTCCCCGTGGATGCCTTCCTCATATTCCTTATCCCTAACATACCTAACTCTGCGAGCAAGTCACGGTGATAGGGCGACAAGTCTTCGAACGGAATGCTTTCCTTGGTGGGAGCAAGTGGCAAAGTTTGGTGGACAGAGTGAAGATCACGTGGATACTCCAAATCACATTCTACGATGTAACCTACATCACCTTCTGGGTCAAGCTTCAACCAATCCATGGTATTCATTTCTGACTCATCTACCCATTCAAACTGATCTTGAGGTAACGGACAACTCATGGCTGCACCATACAAATTGTTTATGTCATAATACAACAGATACGATTCAGGTTTGGAAGGGTCAAAATCAAACATGTATTTGTTGTTGGCTTCTGCGTACCTATGATTGATACTGGCGACTCCACCCCTTATTGCGTTGGAGACAAAATTATACATGTCAGGATCGGACATGAGGTCAAGTTTCACCCCAGTCATCAAGAGACACGCATCCATGGCCATTCCAGGGAGAGTAAAGTAGTGACATGGATCGAGCCTGTAGTAGCTGAGACACATGTCGCGAAATGCTTCAAACACATCTGTCAGTATCAAAGTGTCAACGCCAACGTACAGTTCCATGAATTCTCTCACTGATGAAATTTGGAAAGTCTGCCAAATGTGTTGGGCAAAGGCATACTCTTCTTCCGAAATGGTCTCTTCAGACAAAGAGGAATAAAAGTCGTCACGACTCGGAAATTCTGTCTCGTTCAATTTTTCAAAACTGTCTACATATTCATAAAAGTAGGGTAATTTTCGAGTCAGCATATCCACATGTTCGGGATAGTTCTTTGCCACGTACACAAATTCCTCTCGTCCTTTTTTCCTCAGATTGTTTGCCAGCGTTTGCAAGCTGGTATTCAAAAATTTGAAACTGTCCAAAAAACGCAACTGATCAATTTGAAACATGATGAAGTGTTCCGAATTTTGACCTATACACGTCAATTTGCGATCAGCAAATAATTCTGCTGCTTGGAGAATCAAATGGTTGTCATACCGTGAGGCATTGTGGCAAATAACATTCACAAATGAGGATTCTTTGTAGTTGACATTACAATGATTGTGGCAAAGACCTCTGACTCGACCTGTCAAATGGTCATGATCGATGTGTCTGTCTTTGTCTCGTACTTCCTTTCCACAAAGATAGCAATGGGTTTTCGAACCTATGACTAACTTATCCTGGGGGCTCATTTTCATGGGAACAGGGTGGTTTAATATCTCCATGAGGTAGTCGTAATCCTCTAAAAGATGTGTCATGAAATGTTGGGCAGCCTCCTCCCCGCTATAAGTTCTCAATGGAAAAGAATAGAGATCAGGTTCCCTGGACACAATCTGGTAACTGTAACCACAAGGAATGTGCTTTTGAACGTGTTGAGTTCTCCCTTCTCTCTCGTTAAGTTCTAAAGGAGCCAAGACGGATTCAAAATCAGCATAGATGACAAAGGGGACTTTATTCATCCTAGGATATTGACCCAGTCCAAAAGCTCGAAAAGCTTGGTCTGGTTTAGGCATTTTGATACGCTGTGCTTTGTCATGACAGTAGGGAACATGCTTTTCCAAAACATCTTCCGAACTAAATGTCCACAAACATTTTCTACAAATGGATTTACGGTTACCATCTCCAGGTTTTCTAACCAAAGCTGACAAACTTGAGATCAAAACATAATGAGAGTGGCGATTCATCTTCCTCCTCTACTTCTTGAGTTAGCAGTAACAGGTCAATGTGACGCTCTTTGGGTAAATGGACCATATTGGAACCAATTCTCAAAGGGAAGATTACATGTTCTTGATTTTCCCCTTCATCTACACCATACACGTTAATACTGAGATTGTTTGCTTTTTCAAATTTTGAGATGTGTCTGAGACTCATGGGAAATTCACATCCGTTCAAATTGAGCTCGTGTAATTTATCCATGTAATGGCTCACTTGTTCCCTCACCAAATGTGGTTGAACAGGGAACAAGTGAGCCAAAACACAGTATGCAAAGCACATGTCATCATCCATGTTCCTAATGTTTATCAAACAGCGCTTTTTCTCCAATGACGGAGGGAGGGGGAGATATGAACTACCGCGAAAAGGTTGAAATTTGACCACAGACAATTTGACGCTCAATACCTTTTCAAAATTCAAATTTGAGCTCTCCCCTTCATAGTTATCCATCAATTCCATGATGGTATTAATCGCTTTGGTGTACAACTCGTCCAAATCATCAGCGTCTGTCGCTGGAGACATTTTGGTTCTAAAGTAGGGTTCAGTGAAGGAACTCAAACCGTCAGCATTGGTTTTACTAAATCGAAATTGAGTACAAAGTGCCCACTTGATGGAACGTTTAGTTTCAAGTTCAGATTTTAAACGTTCAATGATTTCGGGTTGAATTTTCACAAAATAGAAGTAGGGGTCGTTTCCTTCATCACCCTGGGGCACAAAATCAAATTCTCTTACATTCCCATTCAGCGCTTGTTTGGAGCATTTCGTATTTTTATTCACTTTCCTTCGCTTAGCTGCACTTGCCCCTGCACCACTTTGCTCATTATGAAAATGGACTTGTCTTTTATGATTAGCAAGGGCTTTGACGGAAGAAAAAAGTATTTGAACATGAGTGACAAGAAAACTTTGTACTGGCTGATGAACTGTGATGATTTTTTACGTGTCTTAGCAATGTATCCTTGCGCAAGAATACACTGGAACAAAATTCACAAGTAAAAGAAGAAGAAGATCCACAGTTTTTCTGATGTCTAACAAGTGAATTTTTGAAAGTGTACTTTTTTTGACAAAACTCGCATGTGTAGAAAGGTTTTGTGGATTGTGAAGACATTTTCAATAATATGGTCTAGCAAACAATGAAGATGGAAGGAAATAACCTGTAACAATACAAATAAAATTGTTATGAATACGATTGAGCATGAAAGTGATATTGATGCGTAGAAGAAGAAGAAGAACGAGAAAAGAATTACCTTCAATCAAGGAAAAATGATGACACAATTTCAAAATATCCACAGTTCCAACTTTCAGCAAGAACACGAGTGAGTGACAACGCTTTGACCAAGTGTGACACAGAGCAAGTGATGGTGCTTAGTGAGGTCGAGAAGAGAACTGTAAGTTTTGTAGTGGGTGCGGAATTGCGGATTTCACTTGATTTCAATACACTACTGGTGCAGGTGCAACCAGGACAATAGTTACTCCATCTCACACTGAGACTGAACTCTAGACCGACATCACCGAACAATATCCCATTCCATTTGATTTAAACAGTTGTGTATTGATTCAGCTGCATCAGAATTCAAACACCCATTCAGTTGTGTTTTTCCACACCTTATAATTATATTGACACAGGTGGGTTGAATACAATACCTATTCGAGTCAATGTTGATGCAGGTGGATTGAATGCAACGCCCATTCAAAGTTGGGTTTTCCACGCCTTATAATTATATTGACACAGGTGGCTTGAATACAATACCTATTCGAGCCACTGTTGACGCAGGTGGATTGAATGCAACACCCATTCAACGCCCATTCAAAATCTGGGTTTTCCACGCCTTCTCATCATATTGACACAGGTGGAATGAATACAATAGGTATTCAATTCCAGTTTCAATGGGCGTATTGACACAGGTGGGGTGAATACAATAGGTATTCAAATCCAATTTCAATGGCTTATTGACACAGGTGGATTACATACAATAGGTATTCATTTCAAGTCCACTGTTGACCTAAGGACAATACCCATTCAACCCGCTGTTGACATAAGGACAATACCCATTCAACCCGCTGTTGACATAAGGACAATACCCATTCAACCCGCTGTTGACATAAGGTCAATAGGTACACTAGTGACGTCATAGAGCCACGTGTGGGAGCCCTAGAGCCACCGATGTGGCTCTTTACTTATTAATATTTCCCTACTGTGGAGCTAAACGTTCACCTCTTCGGCGAAAAACTCGTTGTCTGCCGTCGTTCTGGAACAACTTGAAACGACTCTCTCGTCAGGAGACATTACTCGGCGCCATTCTCGCACTTGCCAGATTCGAAATGAATCAGACTTCCGCTCACGTGACCTAAAACCTCAATGAGGAGGTTGCGAACTTATTACTTTTCTCCTACTGGCTGGAATAATGCCGATGTTACATAAAGCCCAACTTAACTCAACTACTTTTTCTGCCATATCCTTAGTGTTAAATTCAGTTACAGCCTAGCCACCTTGTTGGAGGTCCTCTACATACTGCTCCTGCATTGGAGGTGGAATGTCCATGTTGGCCATCAGTAACCTCGCTCTCGTATTTCCTATAGGTGTGTCCTGTAGACCCAAGGCAAGTCCGACGTTGGGTGCTGCTGGGTTTGGCCCAGGTTTACCCGTCTCGATTTCTTTGTATAACTTCATTTCAGGTGCTACAAAGTCACATGTGACACATTTCAGTGTTATTTTCCCCATTTTCTCTCCTTGGCTATCTGCAGCTGAGGGTCGTCACAGTCACTTGATGTTGACCGATACAGTCGCAGAGCTGTGTTCCATGCTTCGGCCATCTTTTCATTGTCGACTAGTCGCATACCCTCCAAGTCATCATTGCCTGACTCTTGTTTCAGGTCATGCTTGCTGGCTGAAGTGGGACGCAGCAGCCTCACTGAAGTAGAGATGCCATGTCAATTCCGTCTAGTTTCAAGTTCTTTTCAAACTGAATATATTTGTTGACTCTGTTGGCATTCTGTTTCCAGTCAACAGGATATAGGGCTGCTTACACTGACCACATAAAACATTTATTGTCATCGTTTTTAATATTCAAGACAGCCTTCTTATCCTTCAGATAGTCTGGTAGGGGAATGTAACTGCTTGCTGCTAAGGGAGTATACTCTGCCATGTTAACTTCTAAGTGAACTATGTGATCCAACATCCACCGATACCTTCAGCCTGAAACTCCTGAGCAGCAGTATACATCTTTTGATAGGCCTCTGCAATTTGTTCTTGTATTTGAGAGAGATTTGTAACGATACAATTTGTACCTCTCATCACTGGCTCTGCCAAAATGCTATCATTATTTTCATCATATTTAATATACTTAACATTCAACATCTGAAACCATTTACACCCTTTTCTTCTAATAAGAAATCATGCAACAATGTTTCAATATTCCTTTGCTCGTCTGCGAGAAATTGTAAAATGTCTACACTGCTCCCCTCACTGGGAGTGAGTTGTGGAGACCACCCCCTCTAGAGCCTCCATTCGTCCGCCGCCGACTGTCGCATGTGCCTACTCTCTGACTGTAAAAGCGCTCAGGCATAGGCCGATGGCACTGCTTACACACTCTGCCTTTGTGCACGCATCCTTCACAAAAGGCCTTACCAGGTAGAAGAAACTTGTGACGACCACACCAATTGCAAATAGCAAAACGAGCTGGCAATGAGTTGTCTTCTGGCTTTGAGGGATGTAGGCATTGTCGTTTAGGAGCGTCGCTCACATCTGCAGACTTTCTGTTCAGACCCGGTCGACAGTTGTGGGTGTTAAAGTTGTCTTGTCGTGTAAAGGTGTGCTGACATTGCTCACAAGTGGTTTGATTATTCCCGTGAACAGTGCGAATATGTCTCATCAAGTGCTGTCGTTGCTTATTACACTCCTTACATCTGTTCCCATCACACTTTTGGTGAGCTGTTGATGAGGGCCGCGATGATAAATCTAACGCCAACAGCTGCATTCGTTTCAATGCTAATTCTTGGTCATCTTCACAGTTATTAGCTTTAGCCCAGCCCTCCAGTTCCTCTATCGACGTCACCGTATTTAGAAATGTATACTTATCCATATTGTTTGCCATTCTAAAATTAATGAAGGGCAGATATCAACATAAACCTAGTAAAATTTGGTTTGTTTTGTTTTGTGTTTTTTTCATGATCACCCTATTTGTTATGAACTTTCATTGTCACATATTGGATTTTAAATACACGAAGTCGGTAGCATTGACAACTTAACAAAGAGGAATGAATAAACGTTACAATTATGTTAAATAAACCTGACTATAAGTACAGATATGTCGATGGGTTTTAGTGCCAGAACCACTTACCTGTGAAAATGCAAATATGAGATTTGTTTCTTAAAGTGATGGATTTGGTATACTTGATTACCTACCAAAGTATGTACCTGTTTCTATTACTTATTTTAGAGATAATGAATAGAGTCACAACCACTTATTGTTTATCTCCAAGAATAATAGCTAAATAACTTGTTGTTGATGGGTTGAGTTGGGTTTTGCGTCACATCGGCATTATTCCAGCTATTGTATATGTGTGACGTTTTAGGTAATAAAGAAATATCAGAGACACATAGTGAATATTCATATCCAAGACAAATGTTTACTTTAATTGTTTAACTGACCATATCACAATGCTGAATTGAATGATATGTTAGCTAATGGGAACCTATCGAATATCAAGTGAAAGTATTCTACTTTGTAACAGAACTTGAGTCAGTCAAGTTTTATTATCACAGTAGTGTTGATAGTAGCGTAAGAGAGTAGATCTCTGATTAGAGATTCAAGACATTGGGGAAAATATACAAGCTTAGTTGTAATACTTACACTTCAACATAAATGTTTGAAGGTCTTCTGAAAGTGATGCTTTTCCAAGTCAGCCTCGGTTCCTATTACGAAACTGCCCAATTCTTTGACCTCCTCTAAGTTAAGGAGAGGTTCAATCGAAAATGATCTTCTCGTGATTATTAGTGTTCTCTTGTCTCTGTTGTAATAGAAACTGGTGTCGTCCTCGTCAATCAATGATAAAACACTATAGGCCGGAACGAAATTTCGATTATTGAACAAATTCTGCTCCTCCAAGAACTAGTTAACAATCCTCTTGAGTCGGGAGGCGATGCGAAAATTTAGAAGTAAACCTTTGATAGAAACTTGAAATCGAGTCTTTTCTTCGTCAAAAAGCAGAAGCAAATCCAAGCCATGAATCTGAGGAAACGTTTAAAAAACTTTTTAAAAAAGATTCTACCGAGGGGATCAATTCCTATGGGCGTGTGTATATATGTGTGTGGGTGTGTAGATCAAATATTCAATCGTGCAACAATATCATTTATACATTTCTCACCGCACATGCATGTACCAAGTGGCACTATATTTTAACAACAGATGAATATCACTCCATCTGTGTTAGTTGTGTGTGATGTTCTCATATCCTCATGTACATGTCAGGTCGCTGGATGACCCTTACTATAACACGCCCTGTGTATTTTTTCAGGCCAAAGGCTGGAAACCCCGCGTCCGTGCGTTCTCTCGAGTAAGGCAATTGCATCATTTTCGGGAGGATTCAGAATTTATTTAATCTATGAGAATATATTGAAACATAGACTTAGTCTTAGTCCAAAAATAATTGAAGAGCTGTGATTTTAATTTAAAATTGGTAGTCCACAATTTGTTTAATATTTGTGCTATTCCTAGATCCAGACTAGTAGAAGACGTAGCGGCTAGTTTGAAGTATTGACTGCTCCTTTGTGTAATTGGTTCAGTATGGCCGCGTGGGTCTATCCCAGACTCGCTTGACTGCAGGACATAATTCAGGTGGAAGAATGTGGATAGCTTCCAAAGAGGCATGGGTTGTTTATGATTGATTCAGAATTTTTGTAATGACCAGAGGAACTAAGGAATGGCTATTTTACGCGTTGGAATACAAAAACTGTATTGGACATTGATGTTTTCATTTCGGTTGCCGTTTCACGATGAGTTTCATTTTCAAGTGTTATATCTGATCGTGGTACACCATCTGTCGAAAAAGCAGTTTGTTTTCATATAACAGGATCTGCTTATCTGTGGTCCGGTTGATAGCAAGACTGCAGCAGAATAGGTGATTGTAGAAGATGGAACAGATAACTCTTGATCAACCAGTTTTCTTGCTTCTGCAAAGGAAATGTCAGTCGTGTGTTTCAGTTTGAGAATTTCTGTTTGTCTTACAAAACAGGGATATATTTTGGCAGAGGTCAGTTGGTCACCAAAACATTTGCGCACTGAATATTATCAGTGCAGTCCGTGTCATCATGATTTTTACTGCACCGTGTGCCAACTTGCAAAACTGCATTTCTAAATGATCTCTCATCGTGACCAAATTGTTGGCATTTAAAACAACGGAGTGGATTTGGTAAGTACCCTGCTTTGACAGATCAATACAGCTATTTCCTTCAGGTGGCTGTGGTGTTGCGCTACTTCCGGAGTCGGTGTTTCTTGCTTGTTGTTGGGGATATCATCACATTCGATCAGAGTAGGTAGATCAAAGGTCTTTTCTTCGTTCAATGATTCCACAATAAATCCAGAAAGTCTTCGTCCTGTAGTTTGTTGAACACCACCGCATAATGAGATTGTATATGGATAATCATTGGTCGCAACGTCAAACAGATCGAAGAAGAATGTGCTACACACCGACGCATTGCTTTGGTCGTCTATTGTCGCATATATCTTCATAGCTCTATGTTTCTGACCCTTTGGGTACACAAGTGCAAGAATGTTTTTAGAGCACGATCACTTCAAACAGGCTTCCACATACTTGAGTACATTTTGCAGACACTGGTTTCTTTTGAGAAGACAAATCGCTGTTGTGTTTGTTCTCCCAACAATAACACAATTTAGAGGTTAACGCTAAATGCGATTATTGCTGGATTAGCGTTATAAATGAAAAGGAAGATATTTGTTTTGGGAAGTAGTGGCCAATATGTGTGGATGTCTATACAGGGATGAGAAGTAGCAGCGAGAGCATATTACACAATCACCTCTCCGCTGTGACCAAGCAGACGAGGTGAGCATAGCGAGCGAATGGATTCCACCTACTGTAAACCAGGCTGGAATTTTGATTATGGGGTTTCCGCTGTGAAAGCGGACAACCAGCAGCATACCGATTGAGAGCTTCTCACCCCAAACAGGCCAC